AAAAATTGATTTTTAAAAGAAAAAAAATTTAAAAAAAAAAAAAAAAAAAAAAAAAAAAAAAAAGATTGAAAACCGCCGTGCTGTACTACAACAGCGAATTGGGGACATTGCAGATAGAAAATAAATGTAAAGGGTAAATCTCTGCCAAAAAAAACCTCTGAAAATTTAAGGATAATCTCAGGAATTTTCTAGAAAAACACAGAATCTCTGATCTGAAACATAAATTTCCAATTTGTTTCCTAGAAAATTTCTGAGATCTCAAAGTTTGAGTGAAAATCATCCCTTGCTAGCTAATTTTGTTATTTGGAGCCTGATTGAGGGTGTGTGTGTGTGACTCATCACTATTGCGTGACTGAGTTTATTATTATCATTATTGTTTTTTAATTTAGTCTCATTTAGTTTTATACACTACCTAGCTCGCTGCGTTTTCTGCTTGATTTGTTCAAGAACAACCCAAGGACAACATGACCGAAAAACAGAATACTTTTCTGACAACAAGAGGAATAATGAAACGAACACTTGAGTAATAAACTGATTTTTTTATTTTATTTTTTTATTTTATTTTATTTAACTGAAAGGAAACTTTAAGTATTGTAAATCTAAGGTGGCCTCCAGATTTTGTTTATCCAAAGTGGACCTTGTTGCATTGAAAAGTTAGACAACAATTTGGGTAACTGCTTGGTTCTATTGCTATTTATTTCTTCAAGCACCAGTTGTTATTTATTCGGCAAAATCTGCTAAGATCCTGTTGGTCTAAAGGTTTTCCTTATTTATTCCTCACCATATATTTAGTGCTGATATGCACAGAGACAGATCGTTGCATTGTGTTCCTTATCTTGTTTTTGGCCTTGATTTACAGTTTGAATAGAAGATATTCAGAGGTGTGTGTCCTTCTCATCTCTCTCCAGTCAATTCAGTTTGCCAAATGGATACAATTCAAGTTCACAAAACATTCCAGCAGCAGATGGAAAAAAAAAAAAAAAATCAATAGAACAGTCAAAATGTTGCATATAAAAATGGCGGTGTATTATTTAAAGTTGAGCTATTTATATTATACGAGTCTTTTTCTAGTTCATTAACGCTGTCACTTTCGCTCACTGAAATTCATTTTGAGCGAGTTCAAATCAAGGACTATGTTTTAAATGAGACATAAAGGCGTTTTCAGAAAAGGGATAAGAAGTCACGTTTGAAGCCTGCCGTTGCCATGGGACCCAACAAACGTGTAGAAGAAGGCGCTCTGTTGAGATGAGACCAAAAACGCAACTTTTTGGCCAGAATGCAAAATCTTACGAGTGAAGAAAAACAAATGAGACGGAGGCAGTCAAAACCCAGTTGTGACTCGGAAAACTGATTTCTACAGCGCTCTCCAGTGTAGGTGAGCTTCAGGTAACTTGCAAAAATCAGATTTCATTTTTTGATTGCAAGATACTGTATAAATGCTGAAGGTACCTTAAGACGCGGGCGTCAAAGTCCAGTTCTTGGGAGCGACTGTCCTGCAAGTTTTGCATTCCTTCTCCGATACGCCTTAACCAAATGAACTCGGAGATGGAACCAGCTTTTACCTTGGGTTCACCTAGCGCACATCCTCTTCATTTAAGCAACAGATTCCAGTGCCTATGCCGACTGTACTCAAATCTGAGCTCTCGTCACATTTCTGTGAAATCCGCCGCAGTTAAAAGCCAAATAGTCCCACAGCCTCTGTAAGCTGCCACTTAATATAAAATGTGAAACGTCGTTATCGCTAACCATTATTAACTTTATCACATGAGCCAAGATGTATGAGGCAGGAACGGCCAGGGCATTATGTTTGTGATATTTATTTTGATTTTAGGCAACAGCCATATAGATAGAATAATCAAGAAAAATGAGCCGATTATCCATCAAGGGCATTACAAGAGGCAGGAGCCAATTTATCCCTGACGAGAATCCTCGAAATGGGCTTAATAAATCATCACGAGGGGGATATCATTTGGCCTCACCAAGAAAAAAAAAACAAAAAAACTGTAGTGCAAGCATATCTCAAGCCATTAAGGGCTAAAGTTAGCTCTAGCCCCGTCCTGCCAATCTATCAAAAGGGTGTGCAGTGTGAGCCAAAACAGCAGGCTGAGCCACGGGCCTGTAAGGTGCCCCCCAAGAACCAATGTTTCATTTTCATTAGCTACCAGGTCGTGCGAGCCTGCGGGGCCTGCGGAGCTGGCTTCCTCACAGTCTGAGCGCTAAGCTCTCCCGGGAAGTGAACGGATGGGGAAAAAAAAAAAAAAAAAAGTTTTCAATCACGTTTCTGTTTGAAGCAGGATCAGAACTTTATCAGGGGAAACCTGAGAAGCAGGTTTGTCTTGTTTTAAATAGTTTCAGCGTGTGGCTCCTTTTGAAAACGATCAAGAAACCGCTTTCCTCTTTGACGTGTCCCATCTGCTGTCATTCAGAACAAAAATCTCTCTGACGGCACGTTTTATATAAAGACGTCTTAAGGATTTAGCTGTTCTCTCTGATGAGGTGGTGAATGCTGTACTGTTTTAACAGAAAACATTTACGTTTAAAAAAAATTCAAATATATTTGCTATGTCCGGCATCAAGTGCAGCATCTTTAAGTGTTGAGGTTTTTTTTTTTGTTTTTTTTCCATGTTGTCCATTGCTTTTAAAGCATCCAGAAATTCCTCCTTCTCCCCGCTGCGCGTGATGCAAAATCGCATGGCAAACTGGTACATTCCTGGTTGCAGAGAAGTTTCCAGACTTCTGTAAAGGCTGCTCGAGCCTGGACCGCGGCGGTTGTGAAATCCAGGAACGTTGCAATGAGCTTTCCATTGAACGACAGCAGAGCTTGGTTTCTAACCCCCAAAATGGCACCTGCAAAACATAAACCACCTATTTTACATTTTAACAACTCTGAGAGCATTGTTCCGTGTTTGGAGCATATCAAGCAATCAGACCTTTAATTTAAGATCGAGTCTCTCTATTTTGCTACAAGCTATTACAATTGTTGATATCTACAATTCCAGTTTGTATAAGATAGCTAAACTTTCAGCTTCGGATGTGAGATTTCAGCCATGCTGTAATGGCATGTAAAACCAGACCACTGGTAGATAAGACTGGAAACGAGATCATAAAGTTGAATATGGAGGCCTTACGGAAAACTGCCGTTAGATTCCTAATTGGGAAATGTGGTTCGGTGGTGAAAGATTTCCTAATCCCCCCCCAGCCTATTGCTTATTATCTTGTGAAACAATTTTACCTTGGTCGGCTGTGTGATTGCAAGCACTCCCAAGATCACCCCAGTGGTACTTCTCCCTCTCCCTCTCCCTTCGTCAGCCTTTCAGATAAATCTGTCTGCACAGCTCGCGTCATCATCTCCTCACGGTCAGGGCCACATTTAGACGAAACAAATAAAAGGAATTTAGACAAATCACAGATGAGACAAACAGCCTTTAACTGCCTGAGGGCCCCCGCGTTCGCTTGTTGTTACCGAAAGTAATAACTTTATCTCGGGGAGACTTATGAGAAAGAAAACCTCTGGTGGTGGATTATGACAACTCCGCTGGAATGAGGCTGCATGCGTGTCCCTTTCATTTTCACTGCACTTGTCCTTGCAACTGTCTCCAAATTCATAGTGTAAATGTGCCATCTGGGTGACGCGCCAAGGAGATGTTGTCAGTTTTCCTTTCAAGTTGGGGTAAAGCTTCGCAAGGCTGGTGCAGTTGTATTTTTAAGGGTCATTTATACGTTTTTCTTTTATATACGGCCAGCATTTTCTTTTCTCTTTTTTTTTTGTTTATTTAAGCACCATCTTTTTCTCATAACTCCAACAAAACAAAAAGCAGAAGGCAATTGCAAAATGGTCACTCCCCCCCTCCCCGCCGAAAAGCGCACTTTGCAAGTGTTTGTTCTGCAAAATTGCCGGTTTCGGTCAAGCCGAACAATTAGAACGGTTCGTGGTGTCAAACAAAAGTGCCGTGTCCTTATTGCTGACAAATGACTGTTTAGTCAAAACAGCTGATTGGTTTTTCTTTTTTTTTTTTTTTTTTTTTTTTGTTTTTAACAAGCGACCGAACCTGAAATGACAGGTGCGGGGAGACAATTTACAAATCGAAACCAAGTGACAGCTCTGCAATCATTCCACTCTCGACTCGTTTGGAGCCATTCATGGGCGCCGCCCGCCCCGACCGCCGCCGCACGAAAACAAAAATCCCAGACGGCAAAAACAAACAAAGGACGCTCGCGTAATTTGGGAGCCCGTTGACGGACACCTTTTTCACGCAGCAAGCAATTAACAAGAGATTATAGATTATGCCTGCTTTGTGCTCAGAGTTGAGAAAGTTCCTTGAAATTTTGTTGAATAGTTATGTTAATAGGCATGCTGGAAAAAGAAAAAAAAAAACAAAACAAAAAGAACTTTAGCTAAGAATCATGCTGCCTTTTTCTATGTGCTGTTTTCATTAAGAATTGTCATTTTTTTATCTCTAGAATTGACTTAAGATATTTTTGAGATGCTTAAATGTTGTGGTGTTTTGGAAAAAAGAGCTTAGTAGAAAATTTGTCATCAAACATAAACCTAACGTAGCAGTGGAAACACTGGAGGTTTTGTCTTTTTTTTTTTTTTTTTTTTTTTGTCCTTTTCCCACATGTAATGAATGCAGTGAAATTAAAACTTGGATTTTTCTGAACATTTCCACAGTTCCACAGCTTCTACCAAAACAGATATATTTATTTTAGGGATGTTTTACATATCTCCACCAATCAGTGTGGCTGGCACTGTATGCTTAACCGGGCTATTTTAATTCCAGTTTGGTATTTGTAGCATGAACAATTTCTCTGCTGAATTTGAGCTAAATGAACAAATAGCATTTCTTCCCTGGACAAACACACAGACGTACAAAAGGAGAGGCTGGTGAGTGACAGATAAAGCAGAATTTGATTCATTTGGCAAAAATCGCCTTTTGGAACATGGAGATGAGCAATATGATTAAATCATTTTATCACATTCATGTATGCGGGGAGCCAGTAGAAATTCAGCCAGCCATGAATACAAATTTTTGAGGTCCAGGACCGACTGTTCTGCTCATTTGGAAAGGCTGTACATTATTAAGTATGCACATGAGGATAAATTACATGCAATGTGTGGATTTGCCAGTCAGTGTGAATGAATTCCAACCTTTTTTTTTTTTTTTTTCTTGGTTATTCTGTGCGAGTCCATTGTGTGCAGCAGAGCCATCCACTGTAGGGAAGACTCGGCCAACAACACAGAACTTCACAGAAACTTCACTGAATAAACTGAACGCGTTTATTAGCTACAGCAGAAAAAGAAACCGACACCATATAGAATCATTCTGCCGAAATGTATACTCCTGTTTAATTTTGCAGATAAATGTTTGTTTTTAAAAACTGGCCGACCTAACTGAGGTCGGGTATCTACAATATGATCTTCAGGGTGATTTCAGTGAGTGAAGGCAGCGCTCGTCTGATTGATCTTTTCCACTTTTATATTTCTGCATCTTAATATCTTCACATCTTATTTTTATACGTTTGCTTAAATGTTATAGATATTTGAAAACGGCTATAGAACAGATTAAAAGATATATCTTTTTAAGGGAGGAAAGAATTTTAAACTCAGAGAAGAGAAACTTCGCCACAGCAACTGTAGTAGAATCCAAAATTAGATGTGCTCATAAGAGCCTGAGTGCTTCCGAGGGTCGTAAAGGGTAGAAAGTTTTACGTAGTAAATATAAGACAACACATTTAGTGTTTAGATCCAGATTACTTGGATATAAGTAATCCAAGAAACACATTTCTTTCTTGGATTACTTTCTTGTCTTTCGTAAAGAAATTTCTCATCTTTACGAAATGTCGTAAAGATGAGAAATTTCAACAGAAGACCATTGGGCAGAGCATCGGTGGGGCGTCTCTTCCAATAGCTCAAGTACCCAGCGAAAATCCATGACAAAACTGACCATCTGAGAAAATATGACCTACAAACACACTCTTTGTAATCTAATGTGGTGGGCCTTAAAGAAAACTGAAGCAAATTCATACTGAGGAGTCATTTCTATAGAAAGACCAGGAACACGACAGCCGGGGAAAAAAAAAAAAAAAAAAAAAAAGAACTGTCAAGGTAAGTTCTAACAGAACCAGGAGAGCTAGAAACGAACATCTAAAATGATTAAAGTTATACACTATAATACTTTAGTATGATGGACACCCAGAGGAAAAACAACAAATTTCAAATAATCAATGTTTCAAAATTGATTATTTGAAATAATGTTATTGGCATAACATAATTTCAAGCTTGCCTGTCGAATCAAATTTTCAACATTGCAACTCTAGTCATCAGACATGCGTTTCGTGGCACAGGCATTAGTGTAAGAAGCGTGGCCATTTTCACCAAACCGCTG